TGTGACACCAGAAGGTTTCTGTGGCCTGAAAAAAACTGACCGGTCAGCTGGGGTGAGGAGGAGGGGATGGGGGGGAAAAGGGGGGGGGGTATTAGTCTGCTCCACACCAGCCCCTTATGGCCTGCATTCACTCACGCTGACTTCATCTGCATAACTGCATGTTTCATGAGCTTTGGTCAATGCCCAATCCATACTGTATGGGCCTCTGTGTGTGTGTGTGTGTAAAACGCTGCATGCTATTTCCTTTTCTAACACTACATATTATGTCTCCCTGTGTCTTGCATTAATGTTGTTTTGTTTCAAATGAATAAATGAAGTGAGGGTATGTTTTATATGCGGGTTGCATTTGCACACTTCCCCTTTTTGGACACAATCCGTGATGGACTAATCATCCAGGGCAGCGATTAAGTGGTCCCTCTTTCGCCCTGCTACGAATTAGCACTCTCACCCGGAACTCTTCATCACCTTCACGGCCCCTACTAGTGGCACCTTGTTTAAGCCCGGTCAATATTAGCAAAGAGGGATGTGCTGGTAGTTGGTAAAATTGCCACTGCAGTTCTTATCAGGTAAAGTGTTTTTTGATTAGTGTTAATGCTTGCGCCTAAATAGCCTTCAGCTTTTCCACTGGCTACACCTGCTATATATATGTGTGCGTGTGTGTGTGTGTGTGTGCGCACACTGCTCTGCTCAAGGGCACGCAAGCAATTCATCAGGTTGAAAAAGCATTATCGTCCGTGCAGTGACAAACAGGTTTTATGTCTGAGCCCCGTCCCCCTAAACTATAACCCCTGCACCATCTGGGTTGCTTCATGGTATTTTGAGGTTCTGTGTCTTCTTTTGATGGGAGTGTACACGCACTCCGAGAGACGTGTAACACTCTCAGCTCCGCGGCCATGCAACCATTTCCCCTTTCTTTGACTTTGGTTGTGACATCACTGGTGTCCTTGGATGCCCACTGGGCACAGAAAACATGATTACGGCGCCCTCCAGGCCAACCCTCCAACGGAATAACAAGACGAAGTTGCGTCTCAGACGCCTTTAAGTGGATAATCATGAAAGCCCTCTAGGGCTCCCTTAGATTTGAGAAACATGATGAAGGGGCTTCTTTGATGGTCTTCCAGTTGAGAAAACTTGTAAACTTGCTTTTTGAATCTCCGTCCAGACAAGAAAATAGGATAAAGTGCCTCCTAGGGTGCCCTTCCAATGGAGAAAACATAATGAACTGCCCTCTACGTTGCTTTGGCAGTCGAGAAAACGAAATACAGTCCACTGAAGGGTTCCCTTTTATGGAGAAAACACAATTTAGTGCCATATAGGCTCCCTTACGATATAGAAAACCTTCTGCTCTTCAACTGCATGCATTTTCCCTTTTTTCCACCAGTGGCCCACAGTCAACCACTGCTGACTGTGATTGGCGCTGCTGTTTTAGAGCCAAAACCAGTGATTGGGAGAAGCATGTACGGAGTACATGTACGGATTACTTCAATAGTGTAGAAAAGTCAACCAAAATTCTGATTCTATTCTATTTACAGCTGTGTGCTTTCCAATGGGTGGCTGCTCCATATATTGTGGAGAGACACTGGATTACTGTACACAGCCCACCTGTACATACAGCCCTAAAAACAATGACACCCCCCTATTCAAAGCCGTCTACAACGGGCCCGGCCCGGCATCTGGAGGAACAGACAGCCCTGCATGTTAATGCACAGTTAATATTATTATGAAGTGCGAGTGACTTTGCATGTTAGTGAGCGCTCTGTCAAATTAGTGTCAGTTCCATTCATTTCGCCATCTATTTCATGTCACAAGTATACGCTCGCCTCAGACTCCCGAAAGGAACACACACACACAGTCATGCAGGACCAACCTCATGAAGAGATTCACGCGCCTGCATCTCACCAGTAGATACATATTTACACGCACACATCCTTACTCGGCAGAAGAGGGAGACGAGGGGAGGAAAATGAATGTCCCGACTCATTCATCACGTAGCCCCAAAAGTACAGATGAATCCAGTGACGAAAATCTGTCCTGAGAAATGTCAGGAAGATATTAACTCCAATACATCAAAGTGGAGCTGCGGTCTCTAAGCCGACTGCCAGCCAATGCCCACGGCCTTTGGTGAAAACTGGGGAGGGGGGTTTAGCCAACGCAGAAACCAGTAGATAAATACAAAAGTGGCTTCCGTCCAAAGGTTAACGTTGGAAATGACGCATAGACAATTTCATTAGTGAACAAAGGCCATTCTTTAGATCTGTCTGATCCCAATGAAGTGTGACAGTGGGGATAGAAAAGACGTGGGGGGGAATTGCCTTTTCATGTAGATTCTGCTAATCGCTTCCCCAACAAAATAAACAAAATACGGCAGACTTGTACCAATAAGTAAGTTCGGGCTCAGTGGACAGATGAAAACAGCACAGAGGCTAATGGAATTGAGAGCGTTCCAAGCCTCCATGGGTGTCTTAATTGTGTGAGGATAACGCTTGTTCGCCTGCTGCATTGTGGGAAGTCCAAATTGGAGTGCGACTCGCTGGGCTTGTTTTAAGCCAGAGCTTCTCTTGTGTGTGCGTGTTTGTGTGTGTGTGTGTGTGTGAGAAGTGGATCAAATCCCTTGTCCAATGTCTGGAAACAGGTCATGTGACTCACTCGTTTATTTGGGAACCAGCTCCTGCAAAGTATACGTTTTCCGCCAGCAGGGACTGCAGTATCTGAAATCTATATCTTCTGCTGCTCTGCGCTTTTTCATCTCTCCCCTGGAATGTATTATGTGTTCATTTGTTTTTGCATGGATTTATTTATTCATAAATATTCATTGTGAATGTCATGTGTGTGATTCATTTGAAAATAAATAAAAAAATATTGCTTTTCCAATCTCAGCCAGCCAGCATCTATTGGCTCTCGTCGCTGTTGTTATCACAATACCTTTATAGTAATCTTATTTTAGCACTGCTGCACTTCTTTATTACAGCGCAACAATTCCAACCATTGTGGTCCATTAGACGGGAAATTGGACACTATGGGACTCCATGAGAGGACAATGTGCTTTTAATCTGAAAAAAGGTCAATGTGCGCCAGCCATCCTGGAGATTCACTGCAAGCTTATAATTGGGGGCCTTGTCTGAAGACAACGTAGAATTAAATGAAGACAAAGTTGGCGAGAGTGTGCTTGGCCTTTGATGAGAATAGGGGAGTGAGGACCCTTCATTTGCAACCTTTAATCAATCCAATGAGATGAGATCCACACGTGATTCTGGAGGATAAATAGAGGGGGGGGGGGGGTGAAATGGTAATTAGTATTGATTACCTATGGGCACGTGGCCCCGCGGTCCCCTCTCGCATTCTTAAATCAACCCAAATTATTGAATTTGCTAATTTCATGCTCAGAAGTAACGTTAGCCAGCAACGGAGGAAAATGCCTCCACAATGAATCATGTGCCCATCGGGGTCCGAGCAAATTACAGGGACGGGGGGCCTCTTTTTGTGCCCAGGGTGTGAGGCTGAATTAAACGCCCCGGTACAAGTCGAGGACAATAATTATTCCAGGGGGGTCCGTGGGGAGTAAAGGTGATTCAGGTAGCTTTAGCTTCAAATTACATTCGACGTCACCGTGCTGTCGCTAAGCGATGGCCTCGGCAAGGCCATATATGCATGTAATTACTAGTTGAGACAGAGAAGAAAAAAAAGAAAAAAAGGAAGGTGCATTTATGCAGGAAAAAGCAGCCCCAATTACATGTATACACAATTAATACACCCATGGGAAATCGGAATTTGCTTTCAAATGATAAGATAAATTCCTAATTACGGCTACAGACACACGCACGGCTCACACAAGGCCTCACGCGCCTAATCTGCTCTGTGCAGAGTTGTGCCGCGCAGGAGTGGACGGCGACTGATGGAGGGAATCCGTGTCGTCATGCACCCGGTGAACCCGGGCTCCGGGCGCACACGCAGCGCGCGGCCGCCACCTGCTGGCTGTGAGTCTGGGAAGCTTTTTAAGAGATGCTTCTACATTTTACCCATATATGCACACATATTTACATTGACTGGAAAAGGCGAACACAAGTCTAAAGGATCTGAACTACTTTTTTTTTTTTAATCTAAGATGTTACTATACAAATCTGGTGTGTTTTGCTTTCATTGGCGCGCCATGTATTTCTCCACCGGTGTTCTAGCATGAACCAACTGAATGGCAACAGATCATTAAAGAAGCATTTCTTCATGAGCCCACGAACACGGTCGGACTGTCGTTGTTCAAAAGGAAACCAAAGATCACAGTGCTGCGCTTTTGTGTCTCTGGGTCACTTTGTCTTCAGCTGTCTAAACGTCAAACAGAGGCTCTGCTCCAGTGGCCCCCTGAGGCCCCAGAGCCGGTGCTCTAACTCATTCCGTAAGCACTAATCTGCTGCTGGTGCAGCCATGAAATCTTGGGCTTGTGATATGCTTTATATATTGAGTGTTAACACCATCTTCATGCTCATGGAAAGGATCTTTCATGAGTTGGTCTCCTCCCGTCTCTACCAATGCAGTTCTCCTTTAACCTGCCTCAGTGAGTCTCCCCTAAACCGCCTACAAGTGCCGCTGCAGCCGAGCTCTGGACAAAGTCGTCCTCATGCGTCGGACGTTTTGATTTCCGCACTCTGGCTTCCCATCACAAGGGGAATCTAGTTCAAGATTCTTGTGCTGACGTCCTGCGAGCCCTGCGGGGTCAGCTGCCTGCTCACATTAAAGAGCCCGACATCAGCAGCGGGTCTCTGATCAGGGTTTATTGGTTGTTCCTCGCTCCAGGCTCAACACACAAAAGAAAACTGGGCATTAGAACTCTCAACTGTGGAAAACTTCGCAAGACACATTTGTGCGGATTTGCTTTGGTTTTTCCCGAACAAATTAAATTATCAATATACAACTTTATACGCCATATAGAATCAGGAGGGGGGAGCTTCTTTAAGGCAAATGAAATGAGAAATCGAGTGGTTAAATAAAAAAAACGTGACACCAATAGGTTATAGTTCTCAAGTCTGATTTTTATTCCGTGGGAAACATTAGTCTTACACATCTAACTTATATGTGACAGCTACCCAGCACAGCACTGCCTACAAACAAGCATCCATGTTGACGAGAAAAATAAACAATGTTAAAAAGACAATTATTAGTTTAGTAAAGCAGCACGCAGTCCTCTTGCAGCAGAAGAACTCTATCAGTCTCACATAAATATGCTGAACCTCACACTGGGTCTAGGCAGGCAGGCAGACACACACACACACGATACATACAGTGTATTTTCCATTCTTGTGCAGCTCTGGCCTCAGACCCTGCCTACCCAACCAGAAACAGAGAAAGTGCAATTTTAATACGGCGGTGACACTAAACATCCAGGGCGACAAGGACACACAAGACTCACAGCAAGACAGGTGTGCACGAGAGCGCACCTGTGTGGGGTTTGTTTGAATTTAGGAGCAGTGCAGAGGCTACGTTACAGGAAATGACAGACATGAAATGAACACTGAAGCTCTTGTTACGGGAAACGCACACCTCGCCGCCGCCCCGGACGCGCGTGCACACACACACACACACACACAGGACCCGCTGGCCTTCACATGGCCACCGAAGCGTCCGAGTCTTTGGGCCGGTTGCGCACAACGTGCATCAGCTGACCGGAGTCTGACACGTCGTAGCTCGTCTTGTACTTGGCCAGGATCTTCATCAGAGGACGCAGCTTCAACCACCACTGCTCCTTGGGGATCCTGTGACTGCAGACACACGAGCAGATCTCACCACTGTGGCTAACTTTTTTTTTTTTTTTTTTTTTTAATTCAGGGAGTTATTTAGAAGAAAACATAAATGGAGTAATTCAAATGGTCACTTCTGGTCCCATGTGGTACAAATCTAATATGCTATCAGGACTTGGGAAGAAGAAAAAACAAACAAATTCCCATCTGGACCACATGGAGAGGTGACACAAGCGTGACTTCAAGATAAGAAATAACAGTTTAGCATTTAGTTTCAGCACAACAGCAGCTTGGGTGAGACAGCATGAACACGCTCCACAACTAGAAAGAAAACGCAAATGCGGAAAATGGTGGCGTGTGCTTAGGTGTCAGTCCACGGGGGCCGATACGTACACAAAGTCGGTCTCGTCCTTGAGTTGTACAACGGGCTGGAAGACCAGAGCCCTGCGTCGCATCCCCAGCAGGCAGCAGGAGTCCTCTGTGTTGGCGAACACTCGGCCTGCGGGGGGGAAACCACAGCGGTGAAGAGGCGGAAACACAGGGAAGGCACTTCAGGGGGAAAGCGTGCAGTAGCATGGAACAGAGGTTTTGTAGTGCGTGGGAGCGGTTCGTTAACACAATTCTGTGTGGCTCTTTGGATGAATGAGAATGGGATGCGACTGAGGGTCCAATCATAAAAAGCAAGTGAGGCGACATAAAGCGTCTCAGATGAACGAGAAAGATGTGGCGCAAAGCAGGAAACAGGTGTCTGTTAGGACAGCATGGTGGCTACCGCTACATGTCCTAGAGGCACACGCTCAAGTGCCTAAACTGCCTGAGAGCAACTATAAGAATAATGGAAAGCACAAGACAAGGAGCTAAATACAAAGATGGAGATGGTCATGGAGCCAGCAAAAAAAGAAGATTTACCTTCATCTTATGTCATCCATGTGTATGAGAAATAGACATAGAATAGAAAACAAAAAGGTTTTTCAACTGTAATTGTAGTCTTTGTACAGATTTGATGTGCTTTTAAGACAAATCATTCTTCAGAAGCATCACACGTCATTCCCGGCCGCTTCCCGTCTCTACGTTCAAGTCAATTTCTCATTACATAGTTATGCTGATGGATCAATAAATAATTTCCTAAAAGTACATCAGAATATTAGACGGTGACTCCATGACGGATGTGGGTAAAGGTCCGTTTCACAACGGTCACGCCTGTCGAGAGGGGGATCGACTAGCAGGGGTCTTGTCACTAACACGACCTTACCCTGCCTGTATGTCTCCACCAGCTTCTTGCTGACCCACTGCATCGCCTTGGCGGTGATTTTGGTCCCAAAGTTCCGGTCGAACGGAGACGGCGCTCCTCCCTTTCCAAAGAATCAAAAGGTTGCATTTCTTTGTTTTTAACAACACGACATGAGGATGACAGATTTTTCTTTCGGTTTTGAAGATTGCACATTTAGAGTCAAGAAATGGGAAATGAAAAGATTAGTATGCATCACAAGTATAAGAGCAGATCCAAGCTTCTTTTGAATATTAAAATACTGTGAGAGCATGTTTAAAATCTCCTTTAATTTTTCTCCTGTATCGCATTACGTGCTGCAGGCGCAACCCATTTCCAACTTGGGAATCATCAGTTTTGTCTGATCCGGTTTTATCCGCGGTAATCTCAAGACACGCAGAGCCAAAACACAACAAAGCCCATCCATGTAAAATGGGGAAATGCATATTCATGATACAAATATTAAAGCATTTTATTATTGTTAAATCTCCCTCAGCCTGGATGAAAATACTCCCATATAGTCTGTGTGAAAGGGGAGCCAGTGTGGCTGTGCGTACCTGCTGCATGTGTCCCAGCACATTCTTCCTGGAGTCAAACACCCCCCTCCCTTCTTCAGAGTACAGCTGGTAGATAAAGTCTGTGGTGTAGTTGTCATTGCAGTTCTCATTCCTGCGCACACACACACACACACACACACACACACACAGTGAAATAAATATAGACAAAAGACACCAATGATTTAGAATAAAATGAAGTTACCTTAGGACCAGTCCTCTTTGGATGCTGGTCTTCATTTTCTCAGTCAAATGTTCTACGTTGGCCTGTGAGGAGACGCGTGAAGTGTGAGGGACCAGCAGAGGGCATCGTGCTGTAGTGGCCCTCTTGTGGAGGAGGAGACCCAAACAGCAGAGGTCCTGTGTGTTTAAGTTACCATTGTGTTGCTGGGTTACCTGCAGGTCTCGGATGTCAAACGGCTCCTCGTATATGTAGGCCGCATCGGCTCCGGCCGCCAGGCCGCCCACGCTGGCCAGGTAGCCGCAGTAGCCACCCATGGTCTCAATGATGAACACGCGTCTCTTGGTGCCGCTTGCCGACTGCTTGATGCGGTCGCAGGTCTGACACATGCACACAAGCTCACTAAGTCAGTACACATCAGGCGATGGTTACGAGCTACAGCGTTATGAAAGAGATCACTCCAGTTGCGTTTAGCATCACAGAGACTCAAAAGACTATGATCGGAATGCGGAGGTCAAGTCATTACATTCCACATGCTGTAGGTAAACAGATGGCATGCTATTTTTTTGTTTTAAATCAGCCGGCTTTGTACATTTAAACAATTCAGGCTAGTCAGGCTACAATGTTGCTTTTACTTAGAAAGCAACATTTTAGCCCGTAGTAACGAGAGAGCAGATCAAAAAGTAAACCTCAGATATCATCTACAATTTAAATGCTAAGCACTTGACAGAATTATATTCAGGGAAGAAAATCTAATTCCGCTAATCGGTTTGATATTAGGTGACAATAGATCATAAAAACTCAACGTTAACAACAATGTTAAAGGGGCTTTCCAGTACTTGAGTATTGTGTGTGTGTGTGTGTGTGTGTGTGTGTTCATCAATGAAAGAATAGTCCACATTAAGGCAGGAGAATCCCAGATATTTGGATTTGTAGTCTCTAGTGTGACTCATGTTCTCCAAATCTCTAGAAAACTCACACCTGTAGGTGCTAAAGGAGTCTTTGTTAGAAGCAACTCACAGGCTGATTGAACTGGCGAATAACTGAACTTTATGTGTGAAGGTGGAGTGCCCCTTTAAAACTTTGCGGAAGTATTTGGGTTAAAGTTCATCTTCTACCTATAATATTAGAACTACTATCAGGGTTCATTTAGAGTTGGGGGTTACATCATGTTAATGATTGAGGCGCAATATGTTTCTGCTTTTGGGAGCTGACAGTTTCGTTTAATAAAAGCCATTGTGTGTCATTTTCATCCTTTAAGGAACAGCATGGGGGAACAAAGCAGTGCTGGCGAAGGTTTATCGACTGCCTTACCTCCACGATGGCATTGAGGGCCGTGTCTGCCCCGATACTTAGATCTGTGCCCGGCACATTGTTACTTATGGTGGCGGGCAGCATACACATCGGGATGCAAAAGTCCTCGTGGGTAGCGCGAGCCTCGTACAGCTGCAGCAGACTCTCAAAGGCCTGAAGCGGCAGCATGTGAAAACGTGTTAAGAGGCCGCAGAATGACGACCATCGTTAGAGAGAAAGAGAGGCGAACGAGAGGCTAATCTCTCTCGGTTTGCTGGAGGGCATCCGGCCATTCCGACTCTCTCCGTGTGATAGCGGCTTCCCTTTGGCCGAGAGCACAGCAGCGTGGACAGCGAGAGGGAGAATGAAGGGCGGATGGGAACACAGAGAGAATGAAGGGAGGAAAGGACGAGGAATGGTGTGTGTGTGTGTGTGTGGGAGGTAGGACACAAACAGGGAGAAGGGCGGGCAGAGCAAACATGGCGGCTGGTCACGACACTCGGGCACCTCACAGCATGCCTCCATGTTGCCATTCACTTACTCACCTGACAGGGAAGCGGAGGGGGACGCTGCTCTGTGACTTGGTCTTACCTCTACCGGTAACACCTCACAGCCCCGACTCGACTGTTTTTCAAATTTATTTTGACAAATACGTCACCAACAGGCCGGTAAAAGGACTTGAGCGAGTGGTCTCTCCCCCCCCTCCCTGTGAGCGCAAAGAATTTCAGATTCTGGTCGCCAGCCCCGTCACTTACAGCGGTGATGGCGTTCAGAGCCGTGTCAGCGCCGATGCTGAGGTCTGAGCCCGGCACATTGTTGGAGACAGTGGCTGGGACCATGACCATGGGCACGCAGAACTCGTCATATTTCCCACGCGCCGTTAACAATTCCAGCAGGGACAGGAAGGCCTGCAGGGCGGAGCCAAGGGCTTTAGTCTTTGCGAGAGGGGAAGGAAGCCTATGGCAGGGTGGTTTGGAGGAGAGGTCCTACTTGCCACAAGGGAGGGGGACAGGCAAAAGTGGGTGGTGCCAAGGGGAGGAGCCAGATCTATCACAACGGACAGCAGCGAAACAGACAGGTACCACTCCAGCATCGTCTCTCTCTCTCTCTCCCATTCTCACACATCCAGCCGTACACATGAAACTCATTTACTTGCACATATCACAGGAAAATAAAGCTGGTGAGCATCTAGACAGGATGCGTGAAATGGCTGGAGAAAGAAAAAGCAGGTACTCTGCGTTTCCAGTTAAAACCAAATCGTCATGTTATTGATAGATCACTTTACATCAGGGAACCAGCTTTATGCTACAATTCGAAGAAGCGTGATTCTGAACACAACTAAGTAAGGAGCCATATGACATGAAAAGGGAAGCGTGATGAAGAGGATCAACATCATAGAGCTTGCCGTCATATACTGCGCATGGGGACATCTCAATTAATTGAGCTTTAGCAGCTGTTGTCATCTTTAAGAAAACCGTATGCTCTTTATGTTACGGATTATGAAAGATAACACTACTATCAGGCATTTACAAAAAATTTAAAAAAAAAGGCTTATGGAAAGCGTACATGAGAATGTAGCCTCATCAGTAAAATGTGATGGACAGGCAGAAAAAGTTTGAAACATACCTCAAATCCACCAATAATTAGCAGAGCATTAATATTGTGCATTCGCATCTGCTCAGCGATTTTGTCAACATGCTTTCCAGGAAGTGTTCTGAAGGAAAGAACAACCCATGATGTTTATATTTAGAGGTATAAAAAGGATCTTTCCATGTCCAAACGACTGAACAGTTCCTGCGTATATTGCGGTGTTTGTGGTGCTTTACCTTTTGGTTCCCAACAGAGTTCCTCCTTGTCCCGTCCATCCTCCCACATCGGCCCATTTAATCTCCTTAATCTAAGGGGACAACAAATGCAATCCAACTCCTTCCTTCCTTTACCATTTAAAAAATTATTATGACGTATTTCTGGTGTCTTGGTGCAGGTGGTTGTTAGAGGGAGCGTTGACTCTGCTAGATACACTCTGATACATAAACAAAAGTGCTGGAGGTGTGAAAACAGAGGTGTGGTGCAGAGAGTGCCAGAGCACTGAGTTTTAGAAATCCATTACTCCCGCTGGTCTAATCTTCTTAGGGTCAATGGGCGCAACGCGATTTCAGCTGGCCTGGATGTTTAACTCAGCGGTGACGTTTGGTACATTTCAATGGAGAAAAATGATCAGCTCGCTCATTAGATGCTGTTCTTGAATGAGGATTCATGATTTTCTTTCACCGGGAAGAAAAGATCAGCCGAGGATAAGGGAAAAGAGTGGGGAACCAGATCTACTGCTTCTATCGGAGGCGGAATCAAATTGTCTGAAGCAGCAGCACCATCAGGCTCCACTCAAATATCCACGGTCAGCTCAAACTCAACAATGAGGACTGCCTCTATAGTTGGAGCAGGAGAGACTCAACCCACTGTAGTGTGCTGCCCTCTACCGTTTTATTGCGGTATTGCATCATTCGGACAGAGCCCGGCCGAGAAGGGCGAGTCGGCGTGGGAAATAGGTTTACATTAATCTGGACGGATTATTCCCTGCTGGCCCTCGCTGGCTATTCTACAGTCTGGGAGCTAAAAGGGATTGGGTTCTTTCCGCTGCTACTCTCTTCGTTGTAGAGGAAAAATACAGGAGCAGTGCAGACCATGTTTTATCATGGAAGAAAAACTAACTACAACATGTCTAATCAGAAGGAATGTGATTGTAAAGTGGTGCAGACAAGCAGAGAAGCACATGTACCAAACATCACTGATGTAACACCCACCTGTCCTTTGTAGAATCCCTCAAAACCATCATTGACAGCAAACATCTTGTGCCCCTCGGAGATGCCCACCCTGACGGCTGAGCGCACGGCGGCGTTCATGCCCGCTGCGGGGGCACCGACGTTCAGCACCGCCACGTTGAAGTTGCTCTGAGGGGCAGGAAACACAACGTGACTTCACTTCTAATCACCACACCGAAACAGAGGGAGACGGTCGATCCAGCCCCGCAGAGTGAATCAATAAAGGCTTTCTGCCCAGCGACCCGCTGCACCTACAGCGGTCGTTATCAGAGTGCACATGTGAGCTGATCCCCCCCCGAGGCGGGCTCCCCAGCATGGAGTCTGCCCCGACACTCCACTCACTCGGCCTGAGCTAGTCATCCCTTAGCGGGGCAGCCAGGTGTCATTTGATAACACGGCTGGACAAAGCAACACTGAGACACCTGGGCCTCACGTGAAGAATGGTACCGCAGCTGGAGGCCACGCGGCTAGAAAGGTCAGCGCTGGTTATTTTTAGCTAGTCGCCATTAGTAGCATATCTGATGGATTGTGGCTATTCTCTAATCTGCCTGTCAGACAAATGCTCAAATTATTTGGCAAAACAAGAATAATGACTTTCTGCCAAGGTTACCGCTTAAGACAGTGGCATCGTGACTGTAGCAGCGGAGTTAGTATTGGAAGCAGATCATTTGGAGTTATAACAAATGAAATCACAGCGGTTCAGGGATGCCAATTCAACTCCCTTAGAAACAACTTGCAATCCAGGCATGGCTCAGGGACGGCGACTGTGAGTATAGTGCGCGCACACACACACGCACACGTGTCCTTTGTCAAAAAAGAAACTGCTGACAGCACTCGTCACCGTGAAGCTTTCAGGAAGTGACTTACAACTGGCAGTTCGGATTCTGGTTTGCGATGAGCCAGCAGTTTGTACGTCCTCAGGTTGTTTTCAAAACTCCTGCAGTAAAACACGGCACGTGGAATATTGTTAAAACATGTTCAGCGCCGCTTACATGACAATGCACAAAATAGGCTCAAACACAGAAGGTCGAACTCTCTGCATCGTTACTTCCGTCTCTGTGTTTAAACAACAGAGGGCTCGTGTTCTAACTAGCAACATGACCCATTTTTACACCCGTCTACAGTAAGCACCGTCAAACGGATGCGTTGATCTTGAGTGAAGTAGAGCAGTTGGGTTATACCTGCCCCGCAGCCTCACAGCCTCCTCAAACCGCTTCCCGTCCATGGCCCTCTGGACCTCCTGAGTCTGGGGAAAAGAGGAGAATTGTTTCAAGTCAGTTTTATGCCAGACAGTGTGTTCCCTGTGTGTACAAAAGAAGAGACACTTGTGTGATTTATATTGGCTAAGATTAAATATTCGTCGACAGCTGGCATATGCAATTTTGTTTTGACTCATTACTAAAACTACAACACAAAAATCTGAGAATAATTGAAATCCTTCCCCCATTTGTTCTTTCAATATCTGAACATTGTGTTCGAGGGCAGCAATGAAGGCTCTTTGTGCAATTCTATTACATCACCACTCAGCAGGCGGTCATCGCCTACTTTGCCAAATGCTTCAGATAATCATGAACCCAACACAACAGAACTCTCTTCTGATCATTAGTGCCCCTGCAGGCCAAATGCGCCAGAGTCATTACTTCACGGTCCTCTAACCCGTCCTCCTTGACCTGGCCTCTCTGGGTCCTGCTGAGTCACTTGCCAGTGTGTTAGTGGGTGCTTTGTAGTTTCCCCTCAGCTTCCATACTGGTGTGAATACGTGCCCGGTTCTTACCATCTGTACACATTCCATCAGAGGCAGGCGCACCGATTGGTTACCGCAGAGAGACACCACACAGGCTGGCGTGTTCGCTGTGGTCTCCAGAAGTGCAAGGACAGCCTCCACACCCATCCGACTGGCCTGTGGGAGGGAACACACACACACACACACACACACACACACACACGCACGCACGCACGCACACGCACACACACGCACACACACACGTTCCCTCATACTGTTAGTGTTGTGGTAAACATGAAGGGCTTTATTACGGTTCGTGATGCAGTGCTGAGCCATAAATCTGATAATGTGCTTAACCTAAAACTTATTGCCAATTCCAAAAAAAGCATGCAACTAACATGTGGAACAATGAAACGCTGTTGACAACTTCGAAAAGGTCAACCTTGTGTCAAATACAGACAGAGGAGTAGGCCGATTCTAAAATCTGCACATTATCAACTTCAGACTTCCCAAAGCCTCAGGTGATCTATTTAAACAACATATAATTCCACCAAGACTCCAAAATCGAAATATTATTAACAGTAATAAATGAATCGCATTTACTTGGCAAAGCATCAAATCCTGATTTTTCAGAAGCTTGAACCAGCACATGAAAAGGTACTAGAATGGAGCAGTGAGGCTGGACCTACCAGGATGCGGTCAAAAGCAGAAGGGGTCCCTCCTCTCTGCACGTGGCCCAGGATGGTCACTCGCGTGTCGAAACCCAAGCATTTGACGACGAGCTGGGAGAATACAATTAGCAGGCAAAATACTTCGTCATGACTCCAACAAGCAACACTACTGTATGTTTGAGGGATGTTTATGGACGATGCATGTGAAGTGATACTAACGTATCGTGTGCACATCAGCAGTACAGCTAAATATGAAATTCCGCCTGGAATAGGGTGGCGTGGTGAAACATCCATGATGACAATCACACACATTAACACAAACACTGTAGAAAAGCAGAAGAGAAGGGGAAACAGCAAAGCACAAGCAAGCCATTCTAATTTTTCAGTCATGTTTGCGGAGGGGGGCGTGTTGTGCCAAAATATAATGGGCATACTTAGGAACTGCACAAGAACATCAAATGCTTGAAAATGTTAGTGCAGGGTGGTTATCGCTTTGGGCAAATCTAGTCAAAACATTTCAAATTAAAATGCCTTTTGAGGTAGTTACAAATATTGACTTCACAAGTGGGTGTGCGGTTTAGTGAGGGCCTCCGCTTGAGGTCTGTGCAGCAGTAGTAGTAGTAGCATGGTGACAGCCATCCCTCCAGACTAGAGTGCTTATGGCGCAGTGCTCCAGAAACACAGCGACAGAGTCACAGCCACGCCAGGGCAGCAGTACAGAGGTCACACAGGAGGCACTCCAAGCGGGTTCCGCCCACTTTCCTACACACAGCTCTGTACTTACATCCTTGATGTAGTCAGTGGTAATTGGCCTGTTGCTACGATCAATCGCCCCTTCGGCTACAATTATGATATTCAGCCTTTTCATCCCTGCTCGGTTCTACAGGGAGGGGTGGTGGAGAGACAACATGACAGAAAAACTGAGATGGTGGCTGCGACGTGGGCTTTCAGGAGCACGGAGGCCGGACGACGCCCACAGCCGAGGAGTGTGGGGGTGGCGAGTTGTTATCAGCAACATCCTGCCACGGTTACTGCTTGCCATTGCTGCATTATTATGGACACGCAGCAGCATAACTCTTTCTCACCCCCTCACACGAGCCAGTTAGATGTTCTGACGCCTGTGATCATGGCAGGAAAACTTCGAACACACTACAATACAGAGCATTTGGGCGGTCTGTCGATCGCCATCAGTCGGGCCTCTGCGCTTCTGGTTTCCCCTTTCTTTGCACTCAGGTACTCACATCCTTGACTATACCAGAAGTTATAGGCTTCCCGTGCCTGTCAATGGCTCCCTCTGCAACTATGATTATGTTCAGCCTTGTGCCCCTGGAACGGGTCTGAATCATAGAACGATGGTTTCCAAAGCAGAAATAAACACAGTGAGACACCAGAGGACTGAGCCTAAACACTTTCACATTTCCCTTCTCTGATTAGTGGAAACAAAAAACAAAGTCAGGATTCACTCCTTGTAGAAAAAAAAAAAAGACAAATGGGGCAGAATGCGACCATCCTTGTCATGTCAAATAATATCTTTAGGAACATTATAAAGCAATCAACACTGATCCAAAAACATTGGTTGGGTTCACGTGGGGAACAAGTAAGATTGTGTTACCGCAGACAGTTTTTCACACATCTTGTCCTCCCAGCCGTCCTCTGGGGGCATCTCAGGGATCAGAACCCAGTCGGCTCCACAAGCCAGGGCGCTGACCAAGGCCAGGTAGCTTGGAGAAACATACAGACGCAATGCCGTAAACACAACCAGAGGTGATAACCGCGTCAGACTCAAGTATTATGGTTTTGGATCTTCTAGCGAAGTTTTATCAAATGCTTTCTTACCCACAGTGTCTGCCCATGACCTCCAAAACAAAGGTTCTCTGGTGACTGAAAGAACAGAACAGGAACCAATGACAGAGCAGTTAATTTAAATAGAACTTCACTCGAACGACAGATATTATATTATATTTTCAGGAACAGACCTTTGAAAGGGGATGATGAGTTGAGATACAATTAGCCTAAACATGGTGATATGTTGTGCAATTGCCTGACAAACTTTATCTGCCTCAAGATGCGCTGATATTCATTTTCATATTTGTTAGGAATCAAATATGATGAAGTTAAAGATATATGTATTCATGCTAGGGCAATGGGATGCTCAGTAATGAACAGAATATCGATTTAGGACTTCAAATTGTCTTAAAAATGTTCATTTACCAGATTAGGATGAACCAGTAATCACAGATTACAAAATACAATTTAATAAACAAATACAGCTGCTCCCGCTCCCCTCACCTCTGTGCAGTGGTCATAATGGCGTCCACCACTTCGATGATCCGGTGCAGAGCGGAGTCGGTGCCGATTGTCATGTCGGTGCCACAGAAGTCGTTGTCGATGGAGCCAACCATCCCCACGATGTGAAGGGCCGAGTACTTCTGGACCGCGTCGGCCTCAATCAAACCTGTGAGGGGCAGGACGTTAGGGAGGAGCCAGGAGAGTGCTCCTACTGTCGCTCTGGCAGGTTACACTCACCGCTTGGTGTCAAAATATAAACAGCGCGAACAGCAATGGAAAGTGCTGCAAAACTTACATTTGTTGTGAGAAACTTAATCATCGCAAATATTTCACATCATATCTCTGGTTTGGAGTGACTATATGAATTCATAACTCTCATTTAAGCAAAATAGGGGTCCAGACAAATCTGCTAGCCAGGAAGAGCTTAAAGAGCTTAGAGGCCTTGGATATTTCAAATTACAGCAGGTGTATAGACAGTCAAACTTGTGCTACAATGGGATGACATAGACCATTGTGTGCAGATCAAACAAAATGAAGTGAGGATTTCTTATAAAGCCTTTCCACCACAGCTGGAATAATACTGTTTAAAAAGCATGGGGTGTCCTCGGTACCTTGCTCCACCAGCTCCGTCAGCAGGCCGCTCCATTCCTCCCTGAAGAGGTTGGCTCCCGTCAGACTGCCGTCTCCACCGATAACGCACAGGTTGGTGATGCCTTGCTGCACCAGGTTGTGGGCGGCCTTCAGGCGGCCCTCGTGGCTGCGAAACTCCTTACAGCGGGCGCTGCCGATAACAGTCCCGCCCTGTGGACAAGAACGGGGGCGGTTCGGTTCGGCTCGAGTACTCTGCATCCCACTGAGCACCGTGACACACACACACACGCTGCTGGGATGTTAGGGGCTGACCACAAAACAGCCCCATCTTATAATGACATGACTTGCTCTCTGTGAGCAAATACTTGCTTTGATATTTTAATCTTAGAATGTTTGGCCCTCAAACAAAAGTCCACACATGACACAGCCGTTTCTCGGGCCTGTGCAGTAATGCTTTTGATGTGTGGCATGCTGCCTCTGATAAATACTCACCACTTGTAGCATGCTGGAGACACTTTCCCATGAGGCTTCCACTATGTTCTCCCCACCATCCACCATCCCCTGATATCCCTGATACAAAAACAAAACAAAACAAAATAATAAGGAAACAATGAAAACAACTAACAAACTCATGCATCATTAGGTCATCAATAGTCAGAATTAGCTAACGTAACATTGGGTAAAATCAAGAGTTTGACATATCTAGTTTTAAACACCTCAATCACCATATAGTGTTCTGCAGAAGCATGCAGGGAAAAACACCAAGTATTGTGGTACCTGAGTGGGAGGGGATTTCACACGGCGCATCTGCTAAGGCCTTAAGTCGGTTACGTAACAAGACTCTGAGCGAGGGGGTCCATGACATGCACAGATGTGCAGGGATCACACAGAATGAGCAAGCAGAGCTCCTCTCACATCTGCTGTGTGAAAACAAACCTCACCGTGTCCATAGATGTCGACACCAAGCGTTATTCATATGAAACTAAAGTTCAGGCCCCCTGTCGGGAAATGCATTCTATTACACCTGTCACTGCTTCAGATATCTCTGGAAGTAGTTGCTTATAGATTTATCATACATCTGCTCGGTTTTAAACTGTTTCATAATTACACATTGTATTTATTGTGTTATGCAAGGAAAAAATGGGTGAATAGGTGTTTCCACACTTTGAGTAGATGCAGTGGCAAACGGACCTTTATCAATGATCATTAATCAAGCAATCAATATCGACTCACCTCATGAATGAAATAAACTTTTGCGCCCACATATAACCCCATTCGAACCACGGCACGTACGGCAGCATTCATCCCTGAAAAATGATAAACCGGTTATCAAAAAGTAATCCATCAACACTGCAACAGAAACAGTTACGCTTCAGAGAAAGAAAACACACGTCACCTGTAGCCAATCATTGCTAAATGCTCATTCACATGGCTGTGTTAGACAGCCGCTGCATGAATATTTATTTCACCTCCTTCACCCCCCCTCTAAGTATTTATGTGTCTTAAATGGGAAAGGCAATGTGTGTTAATGTGTTTAAGTGCAGCTTAGCGGTATTTGTACGGTGCTCGTCGGCTCAGGCCGCAGCGCACAGCCATTTTTGGTCAGACTGTTTCCCAGCTCCTCCTACACACCCTCCCAGTTATTTGTGGTTAGTCCAAGTGAACTCGGCAAACCAATGAGGAAGTGCTCTGTGGCTTGAATGTCAATGACAGATTAGATGGAAACGCTGACAGTGGGAACACTGGATAACGCTTTACCCACTGCAGGCTGAAGGGAACTTGGCTGACTGCAGGAGGCATAAACACAGGAAAGGACGAGTTCCCTTTCTCTGCTGGTGAACACCACAGGTCTAAAGACAGAGCTAAGCAGTGCCGTTACTAAGCAACACAACAGATTTAAGGCCAGTGTGGGAGCAGGGAAGGCAACGAAAGTGAAAGGACAGTGAAAACCTATATTGGGGGGTAAAAAACCTTGAAAATAGTGTGTTTTTGGTTACATTCCTACAGTTCGAGCACCAACAAAGCTCCCATAACAATTAGAAAGGGACTGAGTGATCAGTGTCCAGTGAGAGAACCCATGACCGACAGGCTCATTACATAACTACGTGGGAATAAACAGCGTGGTTTAATCAGTCACTGTGGGGAAAAGGTTTAGAAACTGACTACAAGACAGACACAGAATAGATGAAAAATATAAAGATTTACAAGAATGGTATCTTTTGAGTTTCAGAGACCTTTATAAAAAGTCCTTGAGTTGAGCCCCGCTCTTCATACCGGACATATTTTCAGGAAAGTGAAAGGAGTGAAGTGAGTGGTGAAAAGACCAAGCAAAGTCTAGACAATAACCTCTGACACTGACATTCAGCTCCCGTCATTCATGCATGCTCCTGCCTCAACGCCATGTGTTTTTATTAAAGAGCTCTTTATTTCTCCTCAGCCAGGGACAGCGACAATGCACAAAGCTCGGCTCGCGATTACTGTGAAGTGCAGAAACTGTCGCTGTTGTTCATGTTAAAAACAAACTTGACATCTCCAGGTCGACTTCCCGCAGGACTTTTTCTTCAAAGACCTTTAGACGGGTCACAGTGGGGCAAAACGCCGTTTTAAATAACACCCGTTTTATGGCTGAATTCCACTTTGGTCTGTATTGTTTGTGCTGGCTCGGTGGGTCAGGACTTATGAATCGAACAGAGCCATTGTTGTTATTAACGGTCACACCTGTGCTTTCCCCACTATGACATGTGAACATGTCTGCTGTGTATAAGAAATAAGATCGCTGCGTAGTTCAGATGGTTGCACTTCAACAATCAAACATAATGTAGTGTTCCATAATACAAGTTACTCATCAATAAGTGAATATGATGGTTATTCTTTTTTCCCCTTTAGACAACCCACTTCATGATTGATTTATGTCACTGCCTTCACTATGTTTGTGTTATTCATAGCATTCTCCGTTACATAATAGTAATATAATTGATTTGAATGTCTCCCGCCTAGAGGAAGACCGAAACAGACCAAAACCATATATACACACACCTTAAAATGTAGCAATCATTTTAAATTTGGATGTGTGAGTTGTCGCTTACATTTTAATATATTTTTTTAAATATCACCTTCCCTAAAAGCTCTTATGTAATTGTTTAACTTTCAGTAGCATTGAAGTGTTTCATATACTGGCATAACGTTATATACAACAATAGCCCTTATTGACAAGAGATGTGGTGCTTTACATCGCACTGACAGATGCGTCACTACCGTTTAAGACGCATGCAGAGACGAGCCGGGGACCACCTGACCCGGGTGTCCTCCACCCACTCCACCCCCCATAGCAGGGATGAAGGATATGCAGCTCGTCACGTACGCAGGATGCGGGCATTCCTCGATCGAGATGCTGCCTGACCACAGACCTCTCTGGTGTCATCTCACTCGTCTATTACAATGTGGTCCATGTTAGCTTAGGCCCCGCCTCCATTTGTCACATCCCGGACCGTCACCACCCGCAATGCAGCGTATCCCGGCACTGCCGGTCTGCTACAGACAAGTTTGTTTGTGTGTTTGGGACGGATTAGTTAACGTTAAATGACACAACATGAACCAGTTATTACATTCTTCATTCTGCCGTCTCAGCGAGAAACGTGCCGTCAAATCCACGGCGGCGGCTGACGCCGTTTTCCGTTAGCCTCCGCGGGGGTTAGCACGACGGGTCACGCTAGCATGCTAACCGGCGGGCTCGCAGAGTTGAATGGCGGTGACCGGTCATCGTCCCTTCGTGCCCGTCGTGTCCTCGCTTTACAATTAAAACCCGAAGCGAGGCGCGCGACACCGAATGAAGAAAAACGTCGGGCATCACGCAGCTGAGGGCGTGCACGTTCTCCCTCTGCGGGTGACACGGTGACGCACATCATCGGTGTCATTTGAAACGGTCACGGCACAGTTTACCTTGAGCATCCCCTCCGCTGGTCAGCACGGCGATGGCTTTCCCCGCTCCGGACAGGTTCTCAAAGAATATCTTCTTGCTTTCTGGCTGCGCCATTTTCACAGCGGCTCTGTGTCTATCGCGGTCTGGTCGACAAAACAGTACAACGGTACCGAGACAATGTAAAAGTGAGGTGAAATGATGAAGGGCAACACTCGTCCGCCCTCTCCCCTAGCTAATAACGCCCGCTGCGCTCTCCCTCTCCCGGTTCCGCGTCTACTTGGTGATTCGCACAGTGTCCCCGGGAGAGTGATTGACATTGGGTTCGGCCAACGAGATCACGGTTCAGGATCGTGCCTTTGGATTTTAAACCAATGGGAAGCAACATCGGTGTTTTGTGGGCGGGGCAGACAGTTGAATGCTCGTCGTCCGGGATTTTTTTGAATGTTTAAACACACCTGTACTTGATTTAAACAAAATGCAAACTACATTTAGCAGTTGGAAGAAAGCCACATCATATTGCAGTAAGTTAAATGGAATGGCTTTTTATCAGAATCAGAACGTATATTCTCTTTATTTGTCTCATTTTAGTCTGCAGCTCAGATGGAGTTTGAAACTTACCGCTTAACTCTTGTTGTCTGTATGAGAGATGTCAATGGGTCTCAAATTCTGAATATAACTTCCACTTCCACAGACCTGTGGGCGCATGATTCGATCTGCTGGGGTTTTAGTTTGGCCAAATTGCCTTTATATACAATATATTGTCTCAGGCCACCTGCTGACAAATATGAAACATGCAACAGCTTGGATATTTAACATTAAGATGCCGCCTCCCTGTCTCCATCTACTGGCAGGAAGAACAAATTACAAGTTTAAAGTCATCAAACTTGGGTGTATCAACTAAAGGCAAAATACAATTGTATAGGATTAAACTGAAATGGCGTTTTCAAGGTATTTTGCCTTGTCCAATACATTTAATTAAAACACAATAGTAGTAGTATGCGCTGAGAAAAATGTATTTGATCAAAAGGGAGGTATCATCATCATTATCATCATCAACATACTGGTTTCAATTCAGGACTTGTGTTGGTAACATTCACTACATGCAAACTGTTACCCTTCATCTTCAATACAGTTCCTGCATGACTTGCGAAATACATTTAATTAGAGCCTTTATCTGAAATTCATTGAAATAACATTCCACCAGACGGCAGATATTTCCGCTAAATAGCTTTTGTTTAAGTTTCTGTTTTGCAACTGTTGCTCACATTTTATTTAAATATATGGTCATACACATTTTGGTACACCCCACATCATTGATGCAGAGAGATTTCATTAGAAGAAAAAACGTCCGACAAACCGACTATATGGGCAACGGTACTACAACACAATAAAACGAATCCACTTGCTTTTGAGTTGAATTAAGCATGTAACCCACATTAGCCTATATTTAAGGTGAATGGTTCCCGTGGCATTTGCATTGTCAACATGTATCGTGGCCTATGAGGCGCTCCTCTGTTTTGTCCCAGCGAGTGGCGCTCTCTAAGGTTCTGATCCAGCAGCTGCTCGCCGTCCCGCCCACCGTAGTATGTCGGTCATGTGCACGTGTCCTTGTTATTCATCCAGACACATGAATGTTCCAGATATGAAACTGATATTCCTATTCCAATGTGAGCCACAGAGAACATTTAAGTATGGAGTGAAACGCGAGAGATGAACGCTCTTTATCTCAGGGAATTAGATTTTTTGTTTAAATGCTATATTTCTGTTATCTGTTCTTTATCTACAGAGCTGGGATCTGTCCGTCCTGCATGCTTTGATTATATCTGGCATGTCATTCAGCTTAAATATCTACATCTAGTTCATTTGTGTCAATTGCCATGAAATATTTGCTAATAAAAACTGTAAAACATTGTGAAGTTCTCAATTATCCTTAAAACTTCACTCTTGCTTGCGTTATTTTATATATATTTATCTCTTAGATATATTTATCTCCTAGAGGGAATTGCTTCCTTTTATGTTTGTGAGACCGCCCCCCCCCCCCCCCCCCCACACTTTTTTTCTGGCCGTTTTAGTCCATGTCACAAAGTGTTGTAATTTTGTTACGGAGCTTTACGCAGCAGCGACGCATTGCATGCATGTCAACAGGGTTATACTGCAAACATCCATTACAGCATTAAGTGAAGCTCCTGATTAAACCCCACTCACACAGGAGCGTGAGAAACCGCAGTATTATTTTTCATGTAAACAGCCCAGAGAGAGCCGCCACCAACGTTGTTTTCACACATACAGTAAATAGACCCATGGCCTCCACAGAAAGCCAAGCCTTTTGTCTCTGCCTTTTGTCTCTGCTTGTTCCACTGCGTTAACCTCATCCTGGATTCGCGTCATGGAACTGACACTGGATGTGAAGAGACCGGTTGGATGATCCGTGGCTCTGGCGTGGTGAGACTTAATGGTGCGTTGAGAGAGTACCGGCGGTGAAAGGTGCAAATGTGACACCTGAGTCAGAACGCAGGCTCCAGATCAGGTGGAAGTGCGTAGTTTTAGGAGTCGGATTGGATCCACACGTGGCCACGTTTTGTTGGAAAAAAATGTTTGGTGTCCATCGTTGTTGCTAAGCACCCACTTCTGAAGCATTGTGCACTTCTCAAAGTGCAAATGATTTAAGACTCTGTGGAGGAAATTTCATTACTATGCACTATAACAATACTAAACAATTTATTGTTGAAATTTCACAACACTTGGCAGTTAACAACAGCAAAGGAAAAAGTTCTGGCTTACAGCAGTCGATGCAGTGGTGTTGTATCAGTTTATGACACTCTCACAGAAATAACACATCCCATCCTTTAGTATAAAATGATTGCATCTAATCACAATAACAAATGTGTTTTAAGCGCGTAGTGGAGGCAAGGATGAAGCAAAATGATTTACAGCCATCCAAAGTAATTCTTTGGTCATAAATGACTGAAGAAAATGTTTAACTTGATGAAGATTCAATGTAGAGGCCATAGTTTTAACAATTCACTTGTAGAGCACCATTCATGTCTAGTACATTTCAAGGCAATCTCGATTATTGCGGAAACCTCATTGTGGCATGAGTAAAAAGTCAAGTGATCACAGGTCAGTTGAAGGAATTGTAGAACAGACATAATAGTCCCATTTCCTTTTCATGACAAACCATCCTCTGAGGACCATGAAGGCCTGTGCTAAATTCAATTTTCATGAGGATCCATTAAATAGTTGTCGAGATATTTAAGACTCAACCGTGAATGTTGGCCTCACTGTGGCACTAGATAAAAGTCAGAGATCACCAACGTATGTGGCTTTTCCCTTTTGAAACCATCAATGTCTGTAGGTTGTTGACTATACTTCAGTCTGGACCAAAGTGGTGGACTGCCTGATCACCATTAACAACCCCAGAGCACAGGAAAGAGACCAGCCTCCATTACTCTGTAAGAAAGATGAACAAAAGTGATCAGCTGATGGGTGATACCCAATGCTGTACGCTAACACGGAGAAATGCCAAACATCCAGTCCTAACACATTATGTGCCAGTAGAGAAAGCCACAAGGATGATTGCGCATTAACCTTTCGCTGCCAGCAGAGGCCCCTCGTGACAGCATCTCAAATCCTAGCGGTCTTCAGTCCCCTGAAGGTGGACCTCATCTCGGTCAAATTACATTTCCTGCTTACAATTTTACACCCGAAGTCTCATTCATTATTGCATTGCTCGGTCGCCAGCAGTGTCCTTGGGGGAATCAGGTCCCAATTTGAGCAGGTTTGTGCAATATAGGCTCACATTGATTGTTTGCTTATTGGCTGCAGGTTGACACTCTGATTGGTCATTTCGGTTGGGATACGTTTTAGCAGATGTTGTGTCCTAGAGGGAGGGAGCTCCATTTGTCTTCGTCCCAGGAGATGAACTGCTGCCTCATGGCTGAACTGCATAGTTGATGCAAATTAATTGTAAAGTCAAACAGCTCATCAATTTAAAAATGGAAGCATGTTAATAGTAAATGGTAAACTATTTTGATTTATTAGAAGAGCATTTAACATGCAAAACTAAGTTTATTTCCTAGTTGTGTTAGGGATTTAAGCAAGAAGTGCACCCCTAGTGGTGGGAATTCTAATACGTGTAATAATGTTTAGTATTAGAATTGTAGTTTGTGTGTTATTAGATATTAGTTATTACATTAGCATGTTAGATGAAGTGAATGCAATATGAATCAAACACAATGTAGAGTCATGTAAATCATATAAACACTGCACACATTAACATTCTGTCACAAAATCCCCGTAAGGCACCCGGCCCGGACACCGTCTCCCCTCATACCCTGAAGCATTGTGCTGACCAGCTGTCTCCGGTGTTCACTGACATCTTCAACACCTCCCTGGAGACATGCCACATACCAGCCTGCTTCAAGGCCTCCCCCATCATCCCTGTTCCCAAGAAGCCCAGGATCACAGGACTCAATGACTACAGGCCCGTCGCCCTGACCTCTGTAGTCATGAAGTCTTTTGAACGGCTAGTCCTGACCCACCTGAAGTCCCTCACCGACCCCCTCCTGGACCCCCTGCAGTTCGCCTACAGAGCCAACAGGTCTGTGGACGATGCTGTCAACATGGCCCTCCACTACATCCTCCAGCATCTGGACTCCCCAGGAACCTACGCAAGGATCCTGTTTGTGGACTTCAGCTCTACCTTCAACACCATCATCCCGTCTCTGCTGCAGGACAAACTCTCCCAGCTGCACGTGCCCGACTCCACCTGCAAGTGGATCACTGACTTCCTGTCCGACAGGAAACAGCGCGTGAAGCTGGGGAAACATGTCTCAGCCTCTCGGACCATCAGCACCGGTTCCCCCCAAGGCTGCGTTCTTTTCCCTCTGCTCTTCTCCCTGTACACCAACAGCTGCACCACCAGTCACCAGTCCGTCAAGCTCCTGAAGTTTGCAGATGACACCACCCTCATTGGACTAATCTCTGGTGGGGACGAGTCCGCCTACAGGTGGCAGTCTGACCATCTGGTGTCGTGGTGCAGTCAGAACAACCTGGAGCTCAACGCTCTAAAGACAGTGGAGATGGTTGTGGATTTCCGGAGGAACAGAGCCCCACCCTCCCCCATTACCCCGTGTGTCTCCCCCGTCACTATTGTGGACTCCTTCCGTTTCCTGGGCTCCATCATCACCCAGGACCTCAAGTGGGAGCTGAACATCAGCTCCATCACAAAGAAGGCTCAGCAGAGGTTGTTCTTCCTGAGGCAGCTGAAGAAATTC